AGGCTCCAGTTAACCTAGGTACCACAGAAACTGTGTAAGATAATAAATGTGTGCTATTATAAACCATTGCGTTCATGATCGTTTGTTCTGCAGCAATAAAAACATAATATAAAGCTCAACTCATGCATCTCAGGGAAAACCTTTCCCACCAATGCCATTGTCAATAACCCAGTCAGTATTCAACCTTTTCTTAGCACTTACTACAATGATTCTGTTGATTCATTGTGTAATTCTTTATCTTCTGTGCTTACTCACTACATTGTGAGTTCCCTGAGAGTTGTTGTGGATATGTTACAGCAGTTTTAGATTCGAGTGTCACAGCAGCTTTTGATCCGTCATCGAAGAAACCGAGGCCACTTAGAGAGGTGAAGTAGAGTTTCAGGTTTTATTAAGCCAGCTGGCTCAGAGGAGCTAGCTTCTCCAAATTCTGAGTGTGGAGTACAGGGCAGTGCAGACTCATATGGGGTCAGAATCAGGGAGGGGTTACGTTGCAGATCTGTTTGAAGACAGGAGGAAAATCAGAGGATTGGTTCCACTTACTAACCTGATTAACATTTTAGCTTGTCTCCTGGGTAGAGAGGACAGTGAATGTTTTTACCTTTTTCTGTTCAGTTGCTGTTGTCAGGACAGCCCCCAATTCCAGGGCACCCCATAAACAATGGAATACTATTTGGTCCTACACCATCCTCACAATCTATTGTGGTTCAGACTATTGTGATCCATAAGGTTTTCATTGGCTGATTTGGGGGAAGTAGATTGCCAGACCTTTCTTTGTATTCCATCTTAGTCTGGAAGCTCTATTCAAACCTGCTCAGCATCATAACAGCACACAGGCTTCCGATGAAAGGTGGACATTTAGGCTGTCTCCATCTTTTTGATATGTGTCTTGTACACAGCATATTGAAGGAACTGTTTTCTTATCCGTTCTGCTCTTGATGTCTCTTGACTAGTACATTTAATCCATTTATATTCAGTGTAATTATCAATAGATATGAATTCATTGCTGTCATTTTTCTGTGTGTGTGGTTTTTTGTTTGTGTTTGTGTGTGTGTGTGTGTGTGGTGCTGCTGGATTCTTTGTTCCACATAATTTTCTGGGCTGAGTTTATTTTTTTGTGGGTGTTCTTTACAATTGCATTTCTGTTGTGTTAATGTTTACTAAATCTGTCTGATTTCCCTATTTTTGTGATTTTGATGTGCAGGTATATTATTTTTCTTTGAGGTTACTGTTAGAAACGTTGTCGACCGACAAACACTCAAGAAATCCAGTCTGCCCTCATTTTAGCAAGAGTGAGGTTTTCTTTATTCAATTTTGAAATTTTTGGCACCCAACCCAGTAGACATGGGCATAGTCGAGGCATGGCTGGCTCACAAAGAGTTTTAGTTCCCTATCAGCATCAGCGGTTCCTTGGGAGAAAGATGAGCCGGTCTGTTCTCATAAAGATTTACAGCCTCGGAAGCCCTGTGTAAGGTCGCTGTGAGTTGGAACCGACTCCACGGCACCTAACAACAACAATCTTGAAAAAGCCCTTCTTCTACCCCTCTTAATGGGTACTATGGAGTTTACAGGAGTCCTGATGTGGAGCTATGGGTTAATACACCAGACTGCAAAGCCTTTTGAACTGCAAGGTCGGCGGTTCAAGCTCACCAGCTGCTCCTCAGAAACCCTAGACAAGGTCACTATGGGTTGGAACTGACTCAAAGGCACTTAACAACAACAACAATAATGGAGTTTACAATTGACCCCTACTAGTCCTTACTGATAAACATTCTCATTTAAAGTTAGTTTCTCTCTTCCCCAGGAACTTCCCCTATTTCCTTGATGGGTGTATTTTTATTTTAAAATTTCTAGCCAGTTAAACTGGTCTCTTCCTCTTCCCTGAGCTCCTTTTGTTATGCTAGCTTGCTACCCCCAAGAGTCCCCTTAGTCCTGAAGATGGATCACCCCAAGAACTATTTCTCACACCCTCACTCTTCTTTCTTCTGCACACGGAGAGACCAATAGCTGTACCTTAGATGGAGATGGCGGCTCAAAAGCTTTCAAGATCCCAGAGCCTACTCACCCAAACTTCTCAATATTGTCCATAGTTTGTCATGATCCTCACAATCAAAAGCCTTTGCGTAGTCAATAAAGCATAGGTAAACATACTTCTGATATTCTCTGCTTTCAGCCAAGA